ATGGATGACTACTCGAAGGATCTGGAGTACCTAATGTTAGCTCTCAAGAGCTGCATGGTCAAAAATACACCACATCCCTTCTGGAATTCTGTGACACCAGCCAAGAAGTCTCCCCAGCCTTTGGCAGTTACCACAGCTTGAGTTAAAAATTTCAAAAGATTTGGAACAAAAAAAAAAAAAAAACACAAAAACAAAAAAACCACCATGTTCATGTCCATTAAGAAGATGAGTACAACCAGAGAGGTTAAATTAGTTACCCAAGGACACACACACAGCTGAGTTTGAACACAGGGTCTGCTTGACCTGTCAGTCTACTCAGAAAAGCAACCTTTACACCTTCCACCAAAGCCCATGTACTCAGGACCCTCATTATTTCCTAGTCAAAGGTGCTTTCTTTGGGGAGTTTTCATGAAGGTGAGACCTGACATTTGGAGAATAAAGGGTGTGGCAGGCAGTCTCCTGGGCTCAGGCTGAACACCCTAGAGAGTGATTAAATGGATCACAAATTGTGCTTGGGAGAGTTAATTTCACATGGTCCAGTGGGCCACAGTCCCAACTCTGTTCCCTGGAATGTGGGTAGGAATAGGCAGAGAAATGTTCTAAATGAGACAGGCACACACCAACTCCACCTTCCCTGTCCAGGACAGCGTGAGTGGAAGGAGCTAGTCCCCTGGGGGTGGAGCAGGTTAGTCTTGAGAATGCCAGGTAGTGCCCACTCTCCCTGCCACCCCAGCCTTCTGGCCTGCGCTTGCCAACTGTCCCTCGTCTTCATTCCTTCTTTCCTTGATCAGAAAGCACAGGAACTGCTCACAAGAAATGGCCATAAACAAAAACCCAAAAACAAGCATCAAATACCAGGCACCAAGACTGGGTAGACCAGAATCTGGGGTAGAAGTACAAACTGAGGGAGTGGAGCAGTGGTCGCCAAGAAACAGTATTTTACCATTACCATGGCTGAGCTTCCTGGTGTCCAAAGCAAAACTGGGAAGTAGATGACTGTTCAGAAAATCTGTGTAAAAATAGAACATCCCACTGGGGAAGCCAAGTGTTTCTTCAAGCTCATTTTCTCTAGACCAGTTTCCCAAGTTGTGTTCAAGGGACACTAAGGACTGTCACATCCAGTGTCCTGGCCCAGCCTCAGACTATAAGAGCAGGTTTCAAAAACTATTGAAGAAAGCAACTCCAAAATATAGCTCCAAAATATAGCCTCCAGAGTGCACATTCAACATGAAGCCTTCTAATGGCCACACTTGATCCAGTGACAGCATTTCCCAAACCACATCTCAGCCAGAAGCTGTGTAGGCTGTATAAGCTGGGCCTCCTGGGGCTACCTGTGATCTCAGGACTGGAGGGCAGGGAGATCCAGCTGTGAGGCCAGCCTAGGCCGGACTGACCATGAAAAGAAAAAGGGGGGAGGGGTGGGAAGAGAGGGAAAGGGGAAAGAGAAGGGAGGGGAGGGAAAGGAAAACAAGGACCGGGAGGAGGAGGAAAGGAAGAGGTGAACGTTGCATACAAATGAGTTTCTGTGGGGCTGAAGAGATGGTTAAGTAGTTAAGAGCACTAGCTGATCTTGGCGCGGACCCAGGCTTGATTCCCAACCCCCACCCACAAAGCAGTTCAGGACTATCTGTAACTCCAGTTCCAGGGGATCCCATGTCTTTGTCTGGCCTCTGTGGGCACGGACATATATGCAGGCCAAGCACTCATACACAAAGAATAAAAGTCAAAAAAGAAGGTAGCCCAAGGATGGGGCAAGTCCTTGGGTTTAATTTCCAGCATTGCCCCAAATGGAGGTTAGGGTGGGGTGGATGCCACAAGTAAATATGATAGTGATAAAGTCAGGATTAACAGAATCAAGTTTGTTTAGTGTTCAGTTTTTACTGTTGCTAAGGCCTAAAAGCACAAAGCAGAGAATTTTGGAACAAAAATGAAAGAGAAGATTGCACGTAGCCGATCCCAGAAGATAAGAAAAGTGTGTGTGTGTGTGTGTGTGTGTGTGTGTGTGTGTGGTGGCCAGGACCCAGCTCTCTGCATCCCCAGGATGAGCTGACCCCAAGGGGAACAGGCATGGGCTGGAAGGCCTAATTTAGTCATTGCTACCTCAAATCCTTTCCCACAGAACCTAAAGCTCAGGTGGAAGTATCTTGATCAGGTGACATTAGCAGTCTCCTTTAACTGCCATCTCTTGATTTCCAGTGGCTTTGAGGCAGAACATTCTACCATCACTCAAGTCTATATTACCCCCATGCTGTTGGAAGCCTCAAGAGGAAGAGCAAACAAACAAAACAAAAAACCCACAAGCTTTACGGAAAATTAGTGTTTGTATCTCTACAGCAATAAACAAACAAATAAAAGTTTGACTTAGAGAGCTGGGAGGATCCCAACACCACAGCACACATACCAACCTGTCTCCACCCCCATCTCACAAAGGGGTGCTGGGATTACAGATGCTCGCACACCAGTGAATCAGCGTTTTCCATGGGTTCTGAGGATTAAACTCAGGCTTACATGGCAAGTCCTTTTCCCCACTAAGCTTTCTGTCTGCCTCCCCCTCACATTCTGACACAGGGCCTTATGTATTCCAGCTGGCCATGAACTCACTATGTAGCCAAGGATGACTCTGAACCCCCGATCCTCCAGCCTCTACCTCTCAAGTGCTGAGATTAGAGGTGTGTACTACCAGGCCTAGTTTATGCTGCTCTGGGGATTGAACCCAGGGCATCATGCACACTAGGCAAACACTACCCACTGGGCTACATCCCCAGCCCTAGACCCTCCCGTAATGAAGTTCGGATAACCTGACTTACTATATGCAGGTGGGTAACAAAGAGAGATGACATTGGCCATCCCATGTCCCTCTGCTGTCTGTCTGATTTCTTTAATTTTTAATTTTATTATGCATTTATATAATGAATGAATGTGGCTGAACAAGTTTCTCCTCTCCCCTCCCCAACCTTCTAGACCCAGTGAACAGAAAGGAACACTACCTGAGGCTAAAGCAAGGGAAGCCAGCATCTTAGCGGAGTGACACACTGTGTCATCCACGGCTGCATGCATGCTGACACAATGTGTCTCCTGAGGCTGTGTGAATGATTCTCACTCAGACAGAGAAGCTGCTTTTCCTCAGTTACTGTGGTACTATCCAGCTACCCCTCACCTGTGGGAAACAGAAAACCAGTTTAATCAACTGGCTACAAACTGTGGAGTTGGGTGAACAAGGCCTTGGATTCCAGCCCTAGCACTAAGAAAAGGAAAAGTACATTTCATTAAATTAATACAATTGAAAAATCTACAAATAATTTCCTGGCTTCATGTATGTAGCTGGATCCCGGTGCCAAAAGAATGTCTTATGCCTTGACCTTATTCCTGAGCAAGTTCTTTGTACACTGTGGCCCTGTCCCCTCCCCCAGGGCTCCACTCTTAAGATTGGAAACCCAGGAGAAAGCCACCCTCAACAGTTCCAACAGGAGTCCCAGAATCCAATCTCTTTGACTTTGCTTAAGCCAAAACCAATTATTGCAGCCAGCCCGATGGAATATGCTAACTCCTTAAATCTCAAAGCATCAGCCAGTTTCCACCTGGAAGCCCACAATGTGAGCCCCCAGGATTTGGGGAAGAGGTGACCACCCAAAGTGAAGATAGGACAGTCAGAAAGTGGGAAGCATCCTGGGCACAGATTCCCAGCTGGAGTCAAGGCCCCTTCCAGTGAACTTGGTAGAATGAAATAACTGCTTACCCAGCCTAAGGAAGAAAAGAATGGAATTTGGGGTTGGGATTGAGGACCATGATAGGGAGACAACGCAAGAATCAGCAGTCTTTGCCTGAGCCTGCAGCAGCAATCTTTAGATTCTTTATGGAGGCTTTTTTTTTTTTTTTTTTTTTTTTTTTTTTTGGAGGGGTGAGAACATCCATCCCAGCTCTAGCATCCCAGGCATGGCAAAAGGGGACAGAATTTCATAACTGCCATGCTGTGTCCTATCTGCCATCCCACTTGGGTCCTGCCAACTTGAGCCACCTGCCCGGAGGCCAATCAAATCTGCACCAATTGCCATGGCTTAGTTCCATGAGACTGGGAGCCAGACCTTGGACATGACTGGGTCCTGCCCCTGTGGAAGGCCCCTTGGCAGGCAGCCAGCAGGCCAACACCCTGCTCCTGTGCTCAGACCTTTCTTATAGAGCTGGGATGCCAGGAGACCACAGATGAGGACCTAGGCCTCTTCTTCTCTAAGAGTTAGCTCTGAGAAGGCCCAAAGAAATGGCAGCATGTGTTCATGGCTCCCAAGGACATATCCGATGGTGCCTTCTTAAACAGGTCCGTGTTTGTGTGATAGACTGATGAGTGGCTGCTAATCCAGCTGTCAGGATGGCAAGGGACTAAATGGGCCAGTGCACTCTTCAATAGACTTGTGTTTTCTGTTCTCTTCCCCGCCACGTCTCTCTTCATCAGCTCCCCCATTGGCCTGCGTGCTCAAAGCATGAATACACTTTTCCTTGTTGATTCTGAAACCCAGAAGGTCTGGTCGGAAACCCATCTCTGGAGGCCTTTCTTAAAGTGATGCTCCCCAGTCACCCTCATCAGGACCACATGGATGTTTGTGAGCCCTGAAGCCCAGACACTTGGCATTTTTAAAGGCTGGAGAGGTGGCTCCGCAAGTAAAGGCACTTGCCATCAACCCTGTACCACGACATACACAGAGAATAAATGTAATTTTTTTAAAAAGGTGTGGGGGTTCCCTCCATTTTTCCAGATCAGGAAACTTGACAGGGGTCACTGGTGCACCCCAGAGCTTAGGAGGAACCCCTGTCATCACAGTGTCTAGGTTGTCATGTAGACAGACACTCACCAGGCAGGGCCCCAACAGGAAAGTCCTGATTCATGAGACTCCGCCCCCTTTGGCTCTTCTATCAGGTAACTCAAAGTCTCCAGGTCTCCAAGTTACTGATTAACCCTGGGTTTTAAGTAAAGAAATAATAACCGAAGGGACAATGTAAGCTGAGAAACAAACTGGTTACCAGGAGAGAAAGATGCCAGATGTCTGCTGTCAGCAGGTACCCGGACAGAGCAGAGAGGAGACTGGAAGTATCTCCACAAGGCCAGAAGCCATGCAAGTCCCAGGAGCACCGGTGGATACTCCTTGCGGATGCCCCTGCGCAGAACAGCCTCATCTCAGCAACTCCGTACCCAGAATGCCCTGCACTGAGGCCCCTCAGCCTATCCCAGCAAGTACCACCACCACAACCACCATCATTGCCGTGGGGCCCACTGGGCGTCTCAGTATCTCTACGGAGGGTGACCTGGAATGCTTGGTGTGCCGAGAGCCCTACAACTGTGCCCGGTCCCCCAAGCTGCTGAGCTGTCAGCATGCCTTCTGTGCCGTGTGCCTGAAGCTTCTCCTATACGTGCAGGAAGACACCTGGTCCATCCCCTGTCCACTGTGCCGAAAGATCACTTCCGTCCCAGGAGGCCTTATCTGCAGCCTTCGAGACCAGGAGGTGATGGTACGGCGGCTGGCCCTGCCATGCCCAGAGGTGCGCTTGTGTCCCCAGGGGCTAGTGGGTTCTGCCCCTTCAGCAGCTCGGCCAGCCAACTGGACAGGAGAAGATGATCAGGATGTAGTAAGTGTCAACCGTGTAGCTGCCCGGCGCCTGGCTGTACACCTGCTCTTATTGGCTCTTCTCATTGTCCTTATTCTGCCTTTCATCTATCCGGGCGTCATCCGGTGGGTGCTAGCCTTCATCATCGCCACGGCGCTGCTGATGTCCACCCTATTCTGTTGTTACCCCCACAGTCAGAGCAACAACTGGCCTTGCCCCAGGACTCTGTTCTGCCGAGAGCAAAAGCAAGCCCAGATCACTTCTATTGCTTGAGAGATCTGGATTCCTAAAGGCCTTGTGCTACACTGGCGGGATCCCCGTTCCCCAGATCTCACAACCAGCATGGGAAATGGGCTAGGAGCCTCCCCCTTGAAATCACGTGTGAACTGGACTTGTATGCCAAAGCCAGACTGGCTGTGTTGGATCAAGGACTCAGTGCTGGGACAATGGGCTTGCATACGCCTGTCCTTATGTAGGATAACTAAACTTTTAGGGGAAAAGGGAGGAGACAATTCCCCCAAATGAGTGACTTCAAGGGCAGTGGAGTCCCTACCCCTCTTCCTGAGCTCCTGGGTTTTAGATACATCACTCTGTGGACATATTGGACATATTGGGACATTGACCTTACTACAAAGCAAATAGAACCAGCGCTCTTTTGTAATCCTTGTAGCTGGCTTCATTTTCTTGTCGGGGTTTTCATGTTTTGTGTGCCGGGAAGTTTGTGGCCATTTCTAGCTGCTGTACATTTTCCCTCCTGGCATGCCAGAGCCCATGGGAGCACTGATGGGCTTCCTGCAAAATCATGTGCTGCACCCATCCTAAACTCGCCATGACAAAGGTCTCATCAGGGCTTCTCACAGGGTCCACCCCGGGGTGGGAGAGTAACCAGAGTAACCACATGGTAGTGTACTTGTAAAGCTGGGCAGAGGGATATCCCAGGTTCAGCAAACAGAGATGGGGAGGTGTGGAGAGGGTGGGTCCAGGAACGGTCTCCAGACTCCCCACCGAGACCATCAGTTGTGTGCTGTCAGGCCAAGTCAAAGAATCTCAAAGTTATAAGGGGACACACACACTCAGAGAGAGAGAGAGAGAGAAAGAGAGAGAGAGAGAGAGAGGACCCAGCTCTCCATCAGACTCCCAAACCCACATGACATAACTTTCCAGATGGTGCCACCCCTCTTATCACATCTATTTGCTCCTTCGCCATAAAGATAAGCCATCTCGTAAATGCAACGGTACTCAGCAATGACACCCCCCCTCCCAGTGTGATAGTCACTAGAGAGGTCCCTGTGTCATCTGTTCAAGACTTCGGCTTCTTCACACAGGGAAGCATCTGCCCTCAGAAGTCAGCTCTGGTGGGTTCCAGGGTAAGGGTCAGCCAGGGTGGAGATGGGTGGGCAAGGAGTCCAACATGGGGGCTGGAGCATGTCTCAGAAACTCCCGGTGGAACTCTGGATGGACTCACCGGGCCCCTTGCATGGCCTTTTCCATTCACCCCATTTCCTGAAATAGGAAAATAACAGGCAGAGAGGGCACAGTTCATGGTGACAGGACCTTTGTCAGGAGTGATGAGAGGACTCTGCCACTGGGTCCCAGGTGCTCGGCCCTGGTCAGTAGTCACATGCTGTTGAGCAAAGTCTTTGGCTCTCAGCTTCCTTCCCTTCCCAGACTGAGTAAGTCTGACTCAATTAGTCTGAAAAGAAAACTCCAGGATGTCCCACTTGCCAGGGCATGGCTCAAGCCATAGGGGGATGGAGGGCAGTACTCTTGTGAATGCCTGCATGGAGATCACAGCAAGGTCAGGGGTAGGACTCAGCGGCAAAGTGTTTGCCTGGAATGTGTAAAACCTGGGTTCCATCCATTCCCAATACCACAAAATAGATAAATGCCCAAGCAAACAAATGCACCTGTGCACTACGCTGCCCTGGAACTCACAATGCCTCCTTCCTTTTCTTAGAAGGTCAGGCAGTTCCCAGTGCAGAGTGCTGGAGGTATGCATGGCCTGGGACTCTTATAGTCAGTCAGAGCGGGCCTGAAGAATACCCCTTCCCAGAGGGTGAACAGATAGATGGGGAGGGCCTTCAAGCACCTCTCCCTTTGGCCTTGGGTGTGTAGAGTTTGGGATGACTACCAGTCTCCCTACCTACTCTACCAAGCCCATTTTACTTCCTGGAGACAAAATCCACCCCCAAGTCTTCAGTTGGTCAAGGAAATATCATTTGTTTCTATTTGGTGGGAGCGTATTTACCCAGTACTCATAAGAGAGCCAGGCGTTCCCCTAATAGCCAAGTTATGGGTCCCTAACAGCCTTGTGAAGGTGAAACCCTCTTATACAGGAAGACACCGAGATCAGAAAGGTGAATTTCTTGCACAGACAGCCTATGCCAGAGATCTTTTGGGAATTAGCCTAGAGTTTTGTTTCAATGCAAGGCCTCCTTTGTACACAGAAAGACCTGAAAGCTGATCCCCCACCTATGGGCTTGGGAGAAATGCCATCAAAAATATGAGACCAACTACAAGAACCAGAAATTCCAGGACTCAGAGATCAGCAGGCTTCAGATGAACATGGGATTGGCCTGCTGCCTTCCCCTCCAACCTTCCCTGCTGGTGGGAGCACTGGGGTCCCCAGCTCAAGGTGCTCAAATGACTACTGTCCTGAGCCTTGCCTTGTGACCTAGACCCACAAGCTTTTTGTTGTCATTCCTGGCCCCCAACCAAGACATCTTTGGAGTCTCGTGGCAAAAGTGGTCTAGCGCTACCCTACCATCCTCTAACCCTTTGAAGCTGACCTTGTCCCAACCATCTTCTGGAACTTCAAAGCTTGGGAGCCAAGGCCAGTCCTGGAGGCAGTGTGTCAGGGGGATGTGAGTGGAAGGAATCCAAGAGGCCCTGCGCTCTGGCCCACTTTGGAGGAAGTTACAAAATGTGTCTGGGTCTTGGCTTGCCCCCTTGGAAATGGGAGGGTGGTGCCAGATTCACTGAGGATTTCACCTTACAAAAAAAGGGCTGAAGAATGACAGTGCAGAACGCCTGATGCCTTCCTTTGACCTAAAACGAGGGGTAGGGCTATCTCTCAGTGTACCACAACCCTTTGAGACCCTGGATTCAGCCTCCAATCAAGAAAAGAGAGCCCCCACACACACACACACATTTTTTTCCTAATTCCCATTTCCTCATTGTTTTAATTAAAAACATAATACAAGAGAAAAGCTTATCCCGAAGCTTGGCATTCATTTAGTCCTGAAGAAACATGAGATGCTCCTAACCTGCCTGACACATTTTTTTTAATGTCTGCAAGTCATATCCTGATGATATACAGCACATTTTTAAGCAGCACATGAACACATATTAAATGGCCTCAGCTCACACATGGAGAACACCATCCCCTTCAGTTCTCTGTGGAGAAGGTGGTTCGATGCCCTCAGACTCTGGAAGGTCCACCTGGCGGGAGTCAACCATCCTTTTTTCTGGATTCTGGGGGACAGAACTTGCCCGGCCAGTGCTCTGCCACTGAGTTTTAGCCCCAACCCCCTGCCTCACTTCTTTCTTTTGGAGACTTTTAACCCACTCTAAATCCCAGAAAGGCCTTGGGCCTGTGATCCTCCTGCCTCATCCTCCGCAATTCCCCACAAGTGCCGATGCTTTCGGCCTGTCACCCTCAGGCCCTGATGATCTACTTAAACAAAGGCAAAGCAGGGAGCGGTGAGCACAGAGCCCCTGCTACCCACTCTGAAGACTCAGTCTCTGTGTGTTAGAAGGGTTTTTGATTGACAGGAAAGTTGCAGAGACAGTGCAGAGTTCCTAGCAAAATTCCACGTGCCTTTCACCCTGATTTCCGATCTTAACACTGATACATTTATCAGGATTTTAAAAAACCAATATTGGTATGTGGCTATTGACTAAAGCAGAGGTTCCATTGATCAGTTCTCACATTGATGTCTTTACTGTCCCGAAACCCACTAGGGAATCACTTTATTATTAATTGTAACTTATTTTCTAAAATTATTTTCCATATTGACTTCATTCCTTTCTGCTCTAGCAAATGATCCTGGTTTGTCTGTTTTTTACTTTTAGAATTACACTTATTTACTTATTTCTATCAAGACTTTTGCTAAATCAGCTTATGCTAAATGATGGAGGAGGAATAGCAATTCCTATTTTCCCTGTATTTCTCACACCTGAAGGGCTGAGAACCTCTTAGTTGCTCAAGCTAAAGCTGGGTGCTTCATCCTGGAACCCTCTCTGGCCACTCCTGTCCTGTAGTTCTCATAGACAACAATAGGATCTTTCTAAATTTCGGTTTTTATGGGCCATGGGGGTGGCAGGTGGCATATGCCACCTCTGTGTGTCTACTGCCTGCCCTTAGTGATGCCAGAACCTTAGCTAGAACCCTTTAGCCCTCCATAGTGATCCTTTTGACTTACAATAACCCTCTAGCAGTTTTTGGTCCTGATTGGCTGATAGGAAGATAAGTGATGGAGGCCCATATCATTCCAGTAGGGTCCTGAGTCACAGGCTCCGGGCTGGAATGTAGCCTGTCTGACCAGCCAGCCTGTGTATTTTTCCCACTGCCAGCTCCGACCTACCTTCTCCAGGAGAAAGAGCAACGGCCTTAGAGGTCATTGCTTAGGCCTTGGTGATTCATATTCCAGCCCTGACCAGGATGGCTGCCTACTTCCTGGCCTGTAGACTAGGTGTGATGAAAATTCACAGGTTACCAGGGCAACAAAAGCCATCTCCCAAGTGCTGGGACACCTACTGTCCCTGAGGCTGGGCACAGAGCAGTGAGTGAGGCATGGGAGACCTCCATTTCTGGGCCCTTTAAGTTCTAGGGTGGGATAGACAGATTGTAAACTGGCAAACAGGAAAGCAATCAATTTCACAGTAGCAAATGCCACGATTAAAATATTACTGGCTTAAATAACTGGTGTACCAATCCGTGGCCTTGGAACAGGACCTGGCACATAGCAGGTTCTCAGCAAATACTTGTTAAAGTAGCTAAAGCTGAGTGGGTGGTTAGGGAAGCTGAGGCCTGTGGGGTGTAAGAGCCTGGGATGCGAAGACTGGCAACCCTAGAGAAAGTGAAAGAATCAGGAAGAGTGAATGTTGCAAACTTTACAGAGCAGTGTGCTGGAGGGAGGCTGCTTCTGGGACCGTCTCTTTCAGTGTGTGGAGGCACAATTTGGAAACTTCCCCTCCAAGTGTCTGCACATAACCCTCTCCTACCCCTGGCGAGCACTTTCTGCAGAGTCCTCCTGTGCCCCTCGTTCTCGCTTCCTGGGGCGCTGATCTGCGTGTCCCTCCCCGAGGCCAGCACCCGGGTGGCGGTTTTGGTGGCTTAGGTGGCGGTGCGCCCGGCCCAGCCCGGAAGGTCGGGACTCTGGGGCTGCGCAGGCGGGACCGGCCTAGGCCGGTGTGGGGCGGCTGGGTCTGGGCGAGGACCGGCGAGGAGAGCCGCGGCTTGAGCAGCCGGGCGGCCAGGATCCGGGTCGTCGTCCCGTAGGTCTCTGCCACCTCCAGGTAAGCCCGCCGGGAGCCTCGAGCGCCCCCAGACCGCGGCCGCGGCGCTTTCGGACCCGGAAGTGCTCCTAGGACTCTAGCTGGGCGGCAGGAGGGAAACTGATGCCTGAGGAGCACCCGGCCAGCACCCCGGGCCACCAA